AACGTACGCTCTCATTCAGTGCAACGGACAGGGCATTCTATCAAGGATGTAGAATCAGTGCTGGAATTGGGCCGGTACTCACCGGTACGCAGTACCGGCACTTCTGGTTCTGACCCATGGAGTACCGGCACTTCTTGCTCAGTACCGGCATGCTGGCGGTACTCCGGTACTCATGCACCGTGCCAGTACTCAACACTCTCCCGCCGTTCTTATTATACATCCATATATATATATATACAGCCGCCCGGTACTCAGTAGATGCGTCATGAGGTGCCGAACGGACATTCTCATCGCTCTAACCGCTGGAGTTTCACAGCGGCTGTCAGCTGTTTACTCCTGTCATTCAAACAGAACGTGCTGGAGAGGGGGCGGGGCTTATCTTCTCCATGTAAATACTGTGGTGGAAACGACTATGTCAAAATTAACCTATTTGACCGTGATTTAATAGTAATACACGTTTCAAAATAATAATAATAATAATAATAATAATAATGCCGAAGTAACAACATACTGAAAACTGTTAGTAAAACCATGTTTTAATGCTTTACAATTTACATACCTAGATGCACGTGTGTTGTGTTTATGCAGTGCAACTCCCACCCAGTGGGTGGCTATGTAGAGTGATAGAACAGAGCAGGCACGCCCCCGAGAGAAGGAAAGCAAGTCACGTCACAAATTAGCATTTCTAAAATGTTAGCGTGGATTAATAAAAGTGCAAAAAGACAGCGGTTGTCGCCGGAAGAAACTTCAAATACAGAGAATGCTGTGCCTGTGTTGGAAATTGTGTCTGATGGGGAGCTTTCTTTGGTTGATCCTCCTGCTCCAAGTTCTAGTGCATTAGCATTAGCACTAGCTCCGCCGCCTCCTCCAGAGCCTCTAACGTTAGCTGCTGCTGGCGCAACTGCCACCACCAACACCAGGCAAAGCATGCACCTGACTGCTGGACAACGGACCAGGTGCAATATTTTTGCAAGACCAATGCATGGCTCCTTCTTAAAGATAAGAAGCTAGGATGTCGGATATGCAGAGATGTCAAATCTTTGGGAATACACACTGGACAAGGACTGAAACTGTCAACTGAATGGGGTGAGTGTGCAGTGTCTCATTTCGGTGTTGACAAGGGCAAACAACAAGCTAGCCTGAGAAAAAAAATCAAAGAACATAAAGAATCACAAGCCCATGTAAAAGCTGCTGACATCCTTACATCTGCTTCATGTGAAACTATTCAACATCAAGTGCAGTCTATGCATACATCTGAATTAGACACCACTATCAGAGTTTTTCGAACGACATATAAAATTGGCAAACATAGCCGGCCATTCACAGACATGCCAATTGATTTGAATGTACAGAAACTGAATGGGCTGAACGTGGGCAGGGTTTTGCACTCCAATAAAACCTGTGGCGAAATCATCGACCACATAGCTCATGAGCTGAAGAAAAAAATGGCAAAAGACATTACAGAAAACCAAAGAAAACTCTGTGTTTTGGTCGATGAATCTACCACTATTAGTGGTAAAACGGTGCTTGTTGTGTGCCTACGCTCAGCATTAGCTGATGCTGAGCCCGAAACGTTTTTTTGGGAGCTGATCGAGTTGGATGGAACAACGGCTGATGACATCACAAAGGCGTTAATGGAGTGTCTTGGAAGAGATTTTAACGAGGACTTTTTAGGTCAGTGTTTCGTTTCTATTGCATGTGATGGGGCTTCAGTCATGCTAGGGAAGAGAACAGGCGTTGCTACCCAGTTGTGTAGTAAATTCTCAAGCCTGTTTGTGTGGCACTGCTCCAATCATCGTCTAGAGCTGGCAGTTGGGGATGTGGTCAAGGAGGTCTCAGGGCTCAATCATTTCCAGATCTTTTTTGACAAACTCTATTCCTTGTTCCATGCCTCCCCCAAAAATCAGAGGCAGTTAGCGCAGTGTGCGCAAGCAGTCGGACAGCGTCTCCTGGTGATAGGGCGTGTTTTGTCCATCTGCTGGGTGGCTTCAAGTGAAAGGAGCGTCAGAGCAGTCTGGGAAAACTACCGAGTGCTTCATGATCACTTCACAAATGCTGCAAACGACACGAGCAGGGATTCCAGAGACAGAGCAAAGTACAAGGGCCTGGATGATGTGCTCACATCTGCAACGTTTGTCAGCAATCTGGGACTGATGTACGATGCGCTCACAGAGCTCAGCGACCTCTCTCGGCAACTCCAAAAAAGAGAGATGACACTGCCTACAGCAGATAGGCTCTTAACTCGAGAAATACGAGTTTTTGAATCCATGGACACCATGCCTGGCCCACACATGACTACAGTTCATACAGCTCTAGCTGAGAAGTCCTTCAAGGGTGTTGCCCTGCGTGAGAATGGCAGGCTTGTACAGATTCATGCAGGTCAGTTTTTCCGCAGTATGGTAGAGAATCTGAGACACAGAATGACTTCCACAACCTCCTCTCATGTCAGCACAAGAGAAATCCCATTACATGGCCGGGAGGCCCGGGACAATCAGCTAATCCAGGACATGAAAGTTATCCATCCTGGAAGTTGGCCTGAAGAGGAGTTAGACGTACAGTATGGGGACGTAGAGGTGCTACGTTTGTGCGAAGTGCTGAAAGTGGACAGAAGAGAGACTGTTCAGGGCTTTCGCGAATACAAGGAAACCAGGGCATCCCGTACACCTGCTGCCATGGAGCCTCTACTGAAAGCAGTCCGAACCATCGCTGTCTCCACTAGTGAGTGTGAGCGGGCATTCAGCTGCATGAACAATATCCTTACTGCAAAAAGGAATGCTCTCTCTGTCAGCCGACTGTCCAGCCTGGTTTTCATTAAATGTAATGGACCATCACTAGGACAGTTCAATCCGGAACAGTATGTGAGGTCCTGGCTGGCAAAGGGAAGGAGAAGTGCTGATGAAAGAGCCTGTCCAGCTCCAGCCCCTGATACTGATGTCCCCAAGGCCTTCTGGAGCCTTTTCTAACAATGTGAAGTATATTGCAAAGCAGCTCACCCAGTGAGAAGACTTTTGGCATAATGTGCCGATTTGTACAGATCCTGGAGATAGAAGGACTTCAGACCAACCAGGGAGTTATCTGATCAGCTTGGTGTTCAATGTAACTCTTTACCATGGCTCAGACTTTGTTACTTGCAGTTACAGTTTCTCATTTTAGATTGTGCAAATGTTGCATTTGTTTTTACATGTTCTTTGTTCATGCTCTTTATCATTTTTCTGAGTTGGAAAGTTAGATTGCATCATAGTTTACTTTATACATATTTGTATTCTTCAGTGGTGAAGTATATTGCAAAGCAGCTCAGCCATGTGAGAAGACTTTTGGCACTTTTTCGTTTTTCGTTTTCTGAGTTGGAAAGTTAGATTGCATTCAAAATGTACAGAAATACTTAATTTTGTTAAAGCTTTTTATAAAAAATGCTTCTGACCAGAGCTTTGTTTCCTTGTCATTAATGTTGAACACCACCAGAGGGGCTCTCACCTGAAAGGTCTCTGCTTCATGTGTCTTCAGCAGAAGATCTAGACTTTGATTGCTATATTTTCAGTTAATATTGACCTTACTGAGCTTTAGCCATATCCGCTGCCTATCATAAACAATGTTAAGTACAGTGAACCTTTCTAAAATATACAGTAGTAAAGAGACAAACCCACCAGCATTATAGTAGCCAAATTCTTGTTTGTGGGCTGTATATATAAAATTGACTTGAAAAAGTTGCTGATTTTAGAGTACTGGCACCTTTTTCATTCCAATTCAAGCACTGTGTAGAATACCTTGGTTGAAGGACAAGATCTGATTGGTTGCTTTCTTTTCTAACACGAAACCACTGAAATGCGTAGTGCATGGTCCGAGAAGGACAAACAAATCAACGTAACACTGTAATATTACAGATCAACAACACAGATACGATTCTCATTTATTCATTTTATATACATTTTATTTATATAATTAAATCAATTTTTTTTTTGTTTTATCTGAGTGTTCCAGGGTATTCTCTGAATACCTTGAAGGCCCTGACGGTTCGCCACTGCAAAAATGTCTGAACCTTTACATACGACTTAATAGCTAAAGTCTGTCAACATCCAGGGCCGGCCGTTGGCATAGGCAGTATAGGCGAATGCTAACCCCCAAAACACACCAGGAGCGTCTGCGTCGGGTTACGGCCGCGCCGCGGCGGTCGTAAGGATCGCGGCCACTCTAGTCAATGGGTGCTATTACACCACACGCGCCGTGTTACGGCTCAGACGCGTCCCAGAAGCGGCTCGGCGCAGCGCTTCTCTAAAATTAGGATGAATCCTATTTTTGCCGCGGCGCAGCCGTAAGGTAAAGTCGGGCAGGCAGCCCCCCCCTCGCAGGAAGTGGAAAGGTGAGCATCCGGGCCAGGCCCATCCCCCACATATACTAATTTAGCAGACCCCACAACACCTCCACTACGAAACGCACCATGGACGACGAGGTGTTCATAATGGAAGTGGAGAAACACACAATTGTATATGATGTAACCAATGCTTTTTACAAGGACAACATCAGAAAGGACAAGGCCTGGTTTTTAGTCGCTGCAGTTTGTGGAGTGGAAGGTAACAACTACATATTAATGTTTTAAAGTTAATTAATACTTGTAGGTACAGTACAGAGCCATTCAGTAGTTTAACATCTTGTGAAAGTCGTTAAAAAACTGTTCAGTAAACTTGCATTTCACAATAAAGTAAGATCTTATTTCCTATATCAAGATTATTATATTATTATTATTTTGTATTTATATTTTTATAAATATTGGTTTTTTAACTATACTTTATCTTGTGAATTTCGCCCAGGGATCAATACAGTTGTGTTTAACTCTTTATAATGATATTATATTTTTGTATTATAATTTGTTTTTATTCATGTGTTATAACAACTACCCAAAATACTCTCAATAATGTTTAAATACAGTATGCTGTGGTGGAAAACCTTGCATTTATAGTCAGATAAATTGTGAGGACAGACAAGAATAATTTGGCAGTCATTTGTCAGACAAAACTATTTATTATAAATTGTATTACATACACAGAAAAAATATGCTTGGGTTCTATGGCAGCTCTGAAATGTGTGGATTGTCTGGTCAGTTCAGGGCCCAGGAGGGACAGAAGTTCATCCATCTGCTCTGCACTCATCCGAAAATATTGGTGGCCACGAGGTGATGAAAATCACCTTGTTGTCTCCTTTGCTGGTTGAGGGGGTGCACCCATAACCGGCTCCTTCTCCTCCCCCCATCCCCCCGTAGTCTTTCAAGTAGGAGAATACATGCCAGCGTTCTCCTCCGGTTTACAGGCACTGTAAATGATATATATATAGAATAATTATGATGATGAATGCATATTTTTTTACCACTAAAATACAGCAACACATCTTTGATTCATGTCGTTTATAACTGGAATATTACAATTATGATTAACTGTGTCTGTAGTCTACAACACAACAAAATAGGAAATAACAACAATAAACACGATTTAAACAGACACAAACATAAACCATTTAACTACGTATAGCCTACTTACTTGTAGAAGTACAAATGTCCAGGAAATATTCCAAAATCAACAACAACTGCGAGGCTGCACACACGACGCTCCGCTTCCGCAACGTTTTGAAACGCGTCTGGTGTGTGTTGTCGCAGGAGGAGGTCGCAGCGTGGCGCAGCCGCAACGTAACGCGGCGCAGACGCTCCTGGTGTGTTTTGGGGGTAAGGGCACATCAACCCATCGGGGGCGCCGAAAATTGGGGAGAAAAAAGTTAGACATTTAAAAAATAATTTTTTGGGAATTTCATAACAACACAATTTCTCGATTTTGGATCAACAAAGTATGGGCTCAAAACAGTCTCATAATACACACATGCACACAGAAGGATTCACACTTGTATTTCATGATCCGCAAAAGGATTCACACTTGTATTTCCGTATCCACACTGGATCCACACAAATGTGTTCCGTTTCATATACATGTAAATAAAATCCAAATACAGAAAAAAGTTTTACATATGTATTTTTGATCCTCACATATTTGTTTTCTGTCTAAAACCTCTGAACCTGCAAACACAAACCGCTTTCTGTGCATGGATCGCTGTGCATTCGTGTGTGGGTTTTTTGAGACTCCCCTGACGGTCAGCCGATTCGTACTTGTAATTTTTCTATCTATAGCCAATCAGATGTCTCCTAAACTCTAAGCCAATCACATGAGCGCGCCCCCACGAGGGTAGATGTCTTGCGTTGAGCACCATAGCCTCAGGTTATGTGAGCTTAGAGTACAATTAAGTCATTATTTTTCTTTTAGTCTTCCTTATTCCACAAACTAATAATTATATTAATTTATTCTGATGTCCTTTATGGCCATGGCGTTGTCACAGAAGTAGAAGGCCAATCCTAATGTGCTGTTTAATAAAGAGCATAGCCTCAAATGTATATGGCTAATTTGTTCTTTAGTAAAACATTACTTTGCAAATTATTGAATAGCAAGCTTAACCAATACAATTGTGTAAATATTACAAAAATTTAAAACTGACCCAACAAATTAAAGTACTTGTGTAGTATGCAACTACTTGAGCGACACTGAGATTCAGTGATGAAACGTAATTGCGACCACTGCCATTATGTATGATAAGCATGGTCATTTCATTGTTACCAATGGTAGAAAGTAATTAAGTGTAATTGTTTTGTAGTCATCAAAACAATTCCATGTATTGCCATGTTATAATTCTACTCAAGTACAATTCATAGGGTTGTACTATTGACATCACATTTATTAAACAGTTACTTTAAAATTCAGATTAGCCACACAACATATAATATTTTAATATTTCAGTTTTTAATACTCGGTACATGAAGTTATTACACTGATCTCTGAATCAATAACCACACTCAAAGAGAGCTTTTGAAAGGTGCAGTGAAATGTTCTAACCAATCATTTATCCATTCTAGTTTATACACTTGGAAAGTACAACAGCCTAAATATCCTGTGCAAGTTCCTCCAACTTATCTTTTTATTTTCTATCCTCAAGTACATGGAAGCCCACTGGGAGATTTAATCCCCCGAGCATGTCTCTGGTCTATCCCAGGGTCTCCTCCCAGTCCTTCATGCCCAGAAAATGTCCGCATGGGGGGACCGAGAGACATCTGTATCGTCCACACCTCCTTTGGCTTGTCTTAGTGCAAGAGAACATGGTTTAGTACCGCATTCTTCTTGATTTTCTCACGACTGAGGGATACTGTGGCTGCGAGGAAGTGCGGTCTTCTTTCAACAGAAGGTTGCTGGTTCGATCCCAGCCATTGTAGTCAACATGTCGATGCATCCTTGGGCAAGATACTAACTTCGAGCTGCTCCTAATGACATGGCCAACGGTGTATAAATGTGTGTGAATGTTAGCTTGCTAGAGCAAGTGGCACTGCTCTGTAAGAATGAGGTGTGAAAGGGTGAAGGATGACATGTAAAGCCTCTTACACACCAAACTGACACCAAAGAACACCGTCGGGATGCGTAGCCTCACGTCTCCTGCGTCTTGGCCATGTTTCACACTGGAACACATCGCAAAGACTTCAGCTGACGGCCAAGTTTCACGTACGAACTGCACATGCGTGAGTGGCAATAACTCTCCTTACCAGCAGGTGGCGGTAGTGTGTATTCGTCATTCAAAAGAGGCAACAACCGGAAGACAGCCTGCGTGATAACCGAGAGAAGAAGAACAGACTGCGTGATATAAACAAACAACAAATAGCGTGTGCGTTCCATTTTCACTCTACAACGAGAAGCTCATGGGGCTTTCCCGAACCTGTGTCGAGAGCTGGAGTTAAATGAAATATCAGATTTGCCTTCTTAATATTTTGTTTGGGTCCCTCACTTCCGTTTCGCTTCTCATGCACTGATTCGCTAAGCTGAACAGCCAATCAGAGTGATTTATTTGGCCGACGGCCTCCCGATTCAACATGTCGAATTGTAGGCGGAAGGTGTCGGCACGGCCGAAAAGACACAACGGTGCAGTACACACCAATCTGAATAGGGCGACACAACGCTCATCGACGGCCCGACATCTATCGGCGCCAAAAATCGGCTCTTTGAGGGGTGGTAAAGACTGGATAAAGCGCTATATGAGTACAATCCATTGACCATCTACTTTGTCATGTAAAGTGAGTTGTATTCATGTCAATCTTAACCTACACCAAAGCAAAACTCAAGAATAAGTGAGAACGGGTCAAACTGGTATGGCCATGGTACTCACAAAGACATAAATATAAGCTAAAACTCATACCAATGCTACACAGCAATTGCCCAGAATACCTTAGGAGAATAAAAAAATACATAGAAAGGTGAAATAAACCATTTTGAAGGCCAACTTTTACCAGAGATCAATCAAAACCACCCCCCAGTGTCAGTAGCCTCTGAATTTCTATCCACCAGGGCATGCAATGATTTTGCCTCCTTCTTCACTGACAAAATTCAGAAAATCAGACAAGCAGTCAGTGCCTCTGCATCAGGTACAGCAAATGTGTTGTCTCTGTGTCCACTTAAAATCAATTCAAACACCATGACACAATTCCATCAGATTAATGAAAAAAACCTAGAGGACATTATTCAACTTCTGAAATCCTCCTCCTGCTGCCTTGATATTATTCCAACAGGATTTTTCAAATATGTTTAGCCTTGCATGGCCTCAGATCTACTTCATATAGTAAACAAATCTCTTCACTCAGGTATTTTTCCACAGGCCCCGAAAACTGCAGTCATTAAACCGCTCTTAAAATCTAGATGCTTCAGTAATGAACAATTACAGGCCCATATCAAACCTCCCATTTCTAGGTAAAATCATTGAAAAAGTTGTTTTTCAACAGTTGAGTAACTGTTTTGATGTGTTCCAGTCAGGCTTTCGTCCAAACCACAGCACTGAGACTGCTCTTGTAAAGGTCTTCAATGACATCCACTTAAACACAGACAGTGGCAGAACTTCAGTGTTAGTATTTGTTAAGCTCCTCGTAAAGAGACACAAAACTTGAACCCGCTATGCAAGAACACTGGGACGGAGACTTAGGTGAAGTGTCAAAAAGACTGGATTTAATAAGTCCACAAAAACCAGGGACAAAGCAAACTTTGAACAGAGTGGGGAGAACGTGGAGCAGGGCTGAGACGGAGGTTGGGCTGGACGTGGCAGGCAGGACGGAATGGAATGTGGAGTTTCTGGAACAGGCAAAAAAACAGAACAGGATTAGCATACGAAAAAATCCAACAGGAAGAGTATACAAAAGAACTAGAAAATCTAGTCAGCCGGAACTGGAGTTTACCACTGTGAGTATACGAAGAACTGGCGAAGTCTGATGATCGAACCGGAGTTTTAAGCAGCTGCAGGTGAGTGGTGGTAATCAGTGATGATGAGAAACAGGAGCGAAGGTGAGTTGGCGGAAAACGGAAAGTAGGTCAACCACGCCCAGCCAGGAAGACAGACAAACAGATAGACAAACAAACAGAAAAAAGGAGAAGGAGATACCGCAATTCCTCACAGTACCCCCCCCTCAATGGGAGCCACCTGGCGACCACCAGGCTTGTTTGGATGAGCCCTGTGAAAGGCCCGCACCATGATTGGTTCCAGGACACGGGAACGAGGAACCCAGCATCGCTCCTCGAGGCCATAACCCTCCCAGTCCACCAGATACTGGAAACCCCTGCCCCGACGTCTGACGTCCAAAAGACGGTGCACCCCCCACCGGGAGGAGGGGGTAAGGCCGGAGGGCTCAATTCACTGGTGTGAACCGGCTTAATCTGAGACACGTGGAAAGTGGGGTGAATTCTCAGAACTCTGGGAAGCTTCAACCGGACCGCGGAAGGGTTAATAATCCTTAGGATGGGAAAAGGACCAATGAAGCGTGGGGAAAGCTTCTTGGACTCAGAGATGAGAGGAATGTTGCGGGAGGACAACCAGATTGACTGGCCTGGGACGTATGGAGGAGCTGCCTTTCTGTGACGGTTGGCTGATCGCTGGTTCCGTGCAGAAGTCTGGAGAAGGGCAGATCGTGTATCTCTCCAGATCTTCTGACAGCGACGCACATGCTGCTGGACAGAGGGAACTGCTAAGTCTCGCTCCTCTTCGGGGAACAGGGGCGGCTGGTACCCTAATGAAGCCTCAAAGGGGGAGAGACCAATAGCGGAGCAGGTGAGTGCGTTGTGGGAGTACTCAACCCAGGAGAGATGAGAGCTCCAAGTAGAGGGGTTTCGGTCGGTGATGCAGCGGAGAGCTGACTCCAGGTCCTGATTTGTTAGTTCTGTTTGGCCGTTTGATTGGGGGTGATATCCACAAGTCAGGCTGACTGAGGCTCCCAGGGATTGACAAAACTCCTTCCAAACTCGAGAGGTGAACTGGGGACCGCGGTCTGAGACAATGTCGGAAGGGATACCATGTAACCGGAAAACATGTTCTGTGAGGAGTTGGGAAGTCTCCAGGGCTGACGGGAGTTTTGGAAGAGCAATGAAGTGAGCCGACTTGGAAAACCGGTCTACTACAGTGAGGATTGTGGTGTTGCCCTGGGAGGGGGGCAGGCCGGTAACAAAATCCAGTGCGATGTGTGACCAGGGACGACTAGGG